CATGTTGTGCAGTTTGAGTTTCCATACTTGGAGAAGTTGCAACTATCATCGATGAAAATTACAACCATATGGCATACTTCAGCTACATCTTACTGCACTCAAAACCTTACAGAACTTATTATTGAGGGTTGTGAAAATTTAGAACACTTATTCTTATCCTCTATGCTAGAGGTCTGGTGAAGCTTGGACACCTCAAAATAAATCAATGCAAGAATATGAGAGAGATTATTGTGACAGAGAATGTGAAAGAAAAGGAGATTTCTTTCCCCGAGTTGGACTTCTTGCACATAGAAAACCTTCAAAACCTTGTTGGAATCTACTCGGGAAATTGCATCATGGCATTCCCATCCTTGAAGCAATTGACCATAGAAAACTGTCCAAAATTGAAGGAGTTCACAGTTAAATCTATGAGTACAGATATAGGCACTGACATAAAGCCTCTCTTCAATGAACAGGTAAGTTCTCTTCATTTCAATGCATTCTGCCTTCTAACTTTAAAATTAATTATTGCCCTTATCCTTTTCCTGTAATGATGAATTTTGTAGTTTGCATTTCATTGCCAGCTTGGAGGCCTGTCTATCTCCTACTTGAAAAACTTCCAGATCTTATGCCATACCAAACTCTATTAGTTCCTTTTTTGGCAAACTAAGATCATTGAGAAATGGTTTTGTGAGAAGCTATTGACTTTTTTCCTATTTGCTACTTTTTGATTTGATACAATATTTTGACAATATTACAAAAGGACAGACAGAGTTGAGTACTGTCACTCCATAGATCTATGCACATATTATATTCATATTGCTGGTTTATTATTAATTCTCACGTTCTTGGTTTAGTTAATTGATAAAACTGAGTTGTCATTGCAGCTGATAGAAAATTAACTTTGTTTACTTTTGATTAGAGAAAAAAATAGTTTTTAATTAAATAGAATCTCTTTGCAGATTAAGTTTACAAGGTTGGAGTTCTTAAGTATGTCGCTTAACATTCAACAAATTTGGCACAACCGGGTTCCAGAAATGCCTTCTTTTGTTCAAAAACTAAAAGAATTGACTGTGGATGGCTGTGACAATTTGAGATATCTATTGACACGCTCTACTGTTAAAAGTTTTGAGCATCTTGAATCACTGACAATTCAAAACTGCAAGATGATAGAAGGGGTAATAGTGGCAGAAGGATTAGCAGAAGAAGAAAGGAGGAACAACATATTGTTCCCTAATTTGCAAGCCCTGGTACTTGAAGGCCTTTCCAAACTCACAAGATTCTGTCCTGAAAATTGCATTGAATTCCCCAACCTTACAGGACTTCAAATAGGCAAATGCCCTGTGTTGAAGACATTCACCTCTAGTCCTGTTATTGGAGACATTGCTGTCAGTAGTAAGAAAGCAGAAAACACCTATGCGCCACCTTTCTTCAATGAAAAGGTGATTCTTACCATCGTTTTTCCTTTGATTTACAGTTATTCGTGTCTTATAATGCAGCCTTTCCATTTTAATTCTAAAGTTGAGTTTCTATCATCTCTATTAGGTCTGTCCTATCTCTTTTAGACTGTTTAGCTATTAATGCAATCTGATAAAATCTGTAGGTAGCATTCCCTCAAATAGAGGACCTAACGATCTATTGGATGGAGAGTTTGAACAAGATATGGGCTGATCAACTTGATGGAGATTCCTTTTGCAAACTAAAAACCATTTTTATATTTCGCTGTGGAATGCTGGTGAGCATTCTCCCATTTAGTATGCTGAAAAGACTTCAGAGACTAGAAACAGTGCTTATTCTCATGTGTGATTCACTAGAAGAAATAGTTGAAGCACCCAGTGCTAACCAGTCACAAGCTCTGGTAGACACTCAGCCGACGTTGGTGGAAACTGACACCGAGTTCGTATTTTCGAAATTGACAGTACTGGTCCTTGGCAGGCTACCCAAAGCTCAAGGGTTTCTGCCATCGAATGCATATGAAATGCCCATCTCTGAAATTATTGCAAGTTTCTGAATGCGAGCAAGTGCAGGTATTTGCTTCGGAATTTCCAAGCTTCCAAAGAATCAATGGAGATGATCAACTTGAAATTCAAAATCAATGTCCTCCTTTCTCGGTCAGCAAGGTACTGTCTGGAAAAACACTGCATGTTGGGATGCATTATTAGATTTCAAGTTCCAGTAAAACTTTCTCTTGAAGTCTACCTTTTTCGGTCATTAGACGCTGCACTGGTTCTAAAATGCATTAATAGATTAAAAAAATACTGGAGTATTATTTATTAACTTGAAAAAAGTAAGCAATCGAAAGACTTAAAATTTCATTTTTTATTCTTTTTTTTTGTCTTTTGTTATGCTTCCTTCACAATAATTTAAGTTCTGTTAGATATGATTTTGATTTTTAATTTCATATTTTTTATAAATTTTGTAATTTTTAAAAATCAAAATTAAAAATTAAAAAATTAACCATTAATAATTTCTTTGGAGCAAGTTTTAAACAAGATAATAGAAAAAACCAACGAAGAGTTGGATAAGTGGCAAGCGACTTGTTCTAATTTAAGCAAGATCTCGAGTTCGAGACCTTGTGTACGCAACAGTTTTTGTTGCGGGATCCACCCATCATTCTGGTACGCCACAGCTGGTCGAGTTCGGAGTAGTCGGGGCGAAACCTCGGATACCGGATGGGGAACCAAAAAAAAAACAAGATAACAGAAAAAAAATAAACTTATTTAATTAATAATATTAAAATTATTTTTATTCTTATTTTTCTAATAATTATGATAATAAGTTACAAAAATATATGAAAGTAAATGAGTGTTTTGTCTAGAATCGCAAAATTTATTAAACTACAACCATATTGACTGAGTCTTGTCACATTTTTTTATTTTATTTTACAGTTAAAAAAAATTATCAAATTTTACAAAAACACAATTATTATATGTTAAAATTTCATATGTACCCTTAGAGGGACTCAATTAATAACGAGGTTGGGAGTAATTATTAAGTTTTATTAGAGGACTTAATTATAAAGTACTATAGATCTATTTACATATAAATCTTACGTACCATATTTATATAAAATTTTAATTATTTATTTATTTATTTTTAATAGTTGAGATTTATTTTTTTTATTCTATTTATTGAGAATAATTTTTTTAATTTAAAAAGTTATGGTAAAACTTAATTAATAAAAGTATAAAGATAAATTATTAAAATTTTATATAAATATAGTGCATAAAATTTATATATGAATGAATATTTACTCATAAATAGAAATTGAGATAAAAGTTGGAGCGGGGCTTTTTAATGCTTTGTTAAAAATAGCAATTGACAATTATATTGGAGATATTGCTACCTTTGAAAGTGTGACAATTATGATGGAACACAAAAGATAAGTTATTGTTTTCGTATTATAATTCATAAATTTATTAAGAATTTTTTTAATATGTACCTTAAATAAGTTAGTAATGTAATTATATCTAAATTTTTAGATCAAAACAAATTCATCATTGTTTTAAAAATATGTTACTTTAATCTTTTAATGAAATGGAGTAATTATGAAGTGTTTTCCTTCTAATTTTTAAAGATGGTGACAAACTCTTTTAGTTAATATCTAATATATATCTAAATTTGTTTCCTCCATGTCTTTAAATTAATAATTTTTCGTCTTTCTAATGACAGAAAATGAGAACTATAGTAGCCATTCCAATAAGCTTTGGTTTTTATTTTTATTTTTATTGTTTAATATATTATTTTTTAATTTTTCAGGCTACATTGCCCAATCTAGAGGAACTAAAATTGAAGGGCAATGCTATTATTAAGGAGGTGTGGCGTGGACAACATTCAAGGGAGTTCTTACCCAAACTGAAATCTCTAGAACTCATCAACTATTGCGAGCGATCTGCTTTTCACCAATATTTCTTCCTTTCATTACCTAGCCTTGAAAAGCTTGTTGTGAGTGAAACTTCCTGGGATGAATTGTTCCAATCCGAAGAGCTAGGTGGAGAGGATAACCCTGCACTTGCATTTGCTCGATTAAGTGAATTGAGGTTATCTAAACTTAACGAGCTAACATATCTCTGGGAGGAAGAATCACATCATGAATCAGTTTTCTATAACCTCAGAGTTCTAGAAGTGCATGAATGTGGCAAACTAAAGAATTTAATGCCATCCTTCATATATTTCCAGAATCTACATACTCTGGAATTATCAAGATGTCATGGACTCAAAAATTTGATGAGATACTCAACTGCTATAGGTTTAGTACAACTCACAAAAATGAGTATAAATTATTGTGCTATGATGGAAGAAATTGTTGCATGGATGGATGATGAAGCGAAGGATGGCATTGTCTTCAATCATCTCGAGTATTAGCAACTTCGTGATCTGCATAGACTAGCAAGATTTTGCTCAGGGAACTGCAACTTTGACTTCCCGTCTTTGGAAGAAGTAATTGTGATGGGATGTCCAAAGATGCAATTTTTTTCTATGGGAGAATTGGTGACACCAGAATTATCAAGTGTCAAATGGATTGATGACGAGGATAATGGGCGCTGGGAAGGTGATCTAAACACAACCATTCAGGAGTTATTCACTCAAAAGGTATGTGTGCACTTTTTTGAAGTATTTGTTTGGTCTTAATTATTTATTAGGAAATGATTTTTGTATAATTTTTTTTTATCTTTTTGTACAATCTAACATATTATTTAAATAATTGATTCTTTTAATTTATGTGAGATTTGTGATATTGAATGCATTTACTTATTTAATGATATGTAAAAGTTGTATTAAAAGATGGTATAAAAAAATTGTCCCTATAACACCACCCTTATTTATTTTTTATACAAAAATTGAAAGTAGAACACGTTAATTATGAGATCTAATCAAAAGCAGGTAGTTCTAATTTATAAATATTTGATAATCAAATAATGCTTTTATTAATCAATTAATCGTGTTTAAAGTGAAGAAATATCATCTTTTTTCCATTATATATAAATTAATAGAACAGCTATTTGTAAATAAATCTCCAAAATATATATATATATATATATTATTTAGAAACGAAAATACCCGGCTTCTAGTTGGCAATTCCATTTTCTTTTAGGTTTTGCTTAGTAATGTTGTTGCTGTTAATTTTTTCTTTTGGTTATAAAAAATTTTAAAAATTTAATAATTCTTTTAACAAAATAAATTTTCAATTTTAGTTATTAATTTTGAAAACTTGTATCCGACAATTATATTCATCAAGTTTTTTTTTTCTTTCAACGGATGCAACAACTGCAATTTTATTTTATTAACATTAATTTTAATAACTAAAATTGTATCCATGAGTTGTTGGATGCAGTTTTACTAAATTTAATTTTAATAACTAAAATTTCTGTTTTAAAATTGTTAGATCATGGAAAATTGATGTTAGTAAAATTGCATCCACCAATTTTAATAACCAGCAACAATTGTATCCAACAAGCGGTTTTTTCTTTTTCTTTTTCTTTTTTTTTTTCAATTTTACTTTAATTTTAATTACAATTTTAGTTATTAAACGGATAGTTAGATCATGGAAAATTAGAACTCAGAAAAAAAAAAAAAAACCTATAGGAGAACTTATGAAGAAAGTAAGAAATTCTTGTGCCATTAACTAGTTATTTGTTGAATCCTGCAGGTTGGATACTATGCGTTCGAAAATTTGAAGATCTCTGAGTTTGAGTTTCTTGATCAGGCAATTATTAAAATTTGGAACAGAAATCCTGGAAAAATCCTACCTGTTAGAAATCTTAAATCTTTAGAGGTTTCTGGTTATAGCAGCTGGGATAACTTTTAACCCCTTCTATGGCATTGGGCCTCGCGAACCTCCAAGATTTAAAGGTCTCAAATTGCTCCACAATGGAGCAAGTGATCACAGGAGATGGAGCTGATGAGGTGTTTCCTCGGCTAAATTCCATCAATTTGGAGTCTTGTTCTAACCTGACATGTTTCTATGAGGGAAGCAGTATGCTTAAGCTTCCATCTTTGAAAAAAATCACAGTGGCTAACTGTACAGCAATGGTAACCTTTTTCTCTGGGTCTTCAAAAGAGCAAGACAATGCAAGTACTTCTGATGGTGGAGGAAGTGAAGAAAGGCAAGATATCCCTATTCAACCATTCTTCAGCAATACGGTCGGTTATATTCTAGAAATAATTTACCATACATAGTATTTATTGGCATTTTATGTGCTGATGTTGCTGTTCAGCTTTAGCGCATGCACATCAATCACTCTTTAATATTCTATTAACTATTACCTTTTTATTTATTTTGTCTATTAGTTATTTTTTTTATCTAATTAGTCTATTAATTTTTAAAATTATATATTTTTGTCTAGTGCGTTAAAGGTCCGTCTATGGACTAATAGTAATAGAAATTGGCACCTATGTGGCACCAAATAAGTGCCACATAGGTGCCACATGGTCAACAAATTAATATTACAGAATATAAGCTTCCAATTATTAAAATTAATATTTTTTAGTCAACTAAACTCTAACCCATAGTAAAACGTGGGTCTCATCTAACCTTTTTAATCATCTAGTCTTTCTTAAGCTTTTCTTAGGAAGGATTCATTAAATTTTTTTTTTTCTTTTTTAATTTATGCTCTAATAAATATATTTTTTATTATAAATTTGTGTTAAAAAATAAAAATTAATATTTAATTTATTAATCATTCAATTAAATTTATTAATTTAATAATAATACTAACATTGATGTTAATTTTTATTTTTTATCTATACTTAAAATACGTGTTAAAAAAACTATTTTTTTATAATTGATCTCACTTGAGATTTAACTTATCTAATTAAAATAATAATTTTTTATTGAATTAAATTAATAAATTTGAAATTGACGCTCATAAAAAAATTTGGAACTGAAAAAAAAAAAACTAAGACAGAAGGACATAAAAATTTGTTTGGGAACTTATAATTAAATACTTATCTTTCAAAACGTTGATTGTCTAGCCACGTGACATCTATGTGGTAGCCACATAGATGCCCTTGTGGATTTTCGTTAGTTCCGTACGTGCAGGGAACTTTAATTGTCTAGACTGATTTTGATATGTTAAATGTTAATTTTGTTCTTTTAATTTTAAAATTTTATATAATTTTGATTTTTTAATTTTTTATATTTTTTTTGATCCTTTAATTATAAAATATGTATTTTTTTAATTTTTTGTTAGTTTTTCGTTAAGTTTGTTCAAATATATACATTTTTAGATATGCATATATTAAAAGTTGAGGAACTAAAAATGTGCAGATTCAAATAAAATTAACCGATTAATTGACGGAAAGACTAAAAAAATGTGTTTTTCATAGTTAAGGGACCAAATAAGTGCACAAAAAAGTTAAAAGATAAAAATTATGCAAACTTAAAGTTGAGGGACCAAAATTAACATTTAACCATTTTGATATAATTTAAAAAGTTGATAGATTGTTTAGATTAAAAAATAGTTAATAGCCAAAAAAGTTGGAAGATCAATAATTCATATACTATTTGTTAAATTTAACCACCCTATATATGAACTATGTTAAACAAACAAAATTTTATTATTAATTAGCTTAAACTAGTAAAGCTTTATTTGTCTGTAATGTGTTGGGTTGTGCACTTGTGCTTTGCTATAATTATAGTTTTTTAGTCTTTTATCATCTTAAAAATATATAAAATATTAATTAAAATTAATAGAGATATATAAAAAGATTAATTGATAATTATAAATTTACATTTTTTAAAAAATGTGTTGAGTGAAAAAAAAAAATGTATGAGAAGCATGGAGAAACCAAGCCTAAGTTCTGTAATTTTTTTGAGTAAATAAATATCTAGGTTTTTCTTTATAAAAATTTTTGTGGCAATTTGAATGAACTTGCTTGTCTTAAAATCCGTAGTGAAGTTCAGCAAACACCATCGATCACTGACAAAAATTATGCAAGCCTAAACAGAGTTGAGTACTGTCACTCCTTATATCTATGCTCATTGTGTTGTGTAATCGTATGTATGTCCTTTTCATATTTTGCCTTCTAGTTGTGATCTCTTTGTTTCCTTTTTGTTAAAGAAGAAAAAGCTGTTCATTAAATTGATGAATCTTCTTTCAGCTTGAGGTTTTCAACCTGGAGTCTTTAGAGCTGTCTGGAAATATTAACATTCAGCAAATTTGGTACAATCGGGTTCCAGAAATATCTTTTCTTGTTCGAAATCTAATACTGTGTGATATGGAGGGCTGTGGTAATTTAAAATATCTATTGACATCCTCCATGGTTAAAAGTTTAGAGAATCTTGAATGCCTCCTTGTACGTAATTGTAAGATGATGGAAGCGGTAATAGTCACAGAAGAAGGATTTGCAGAACAAGTCACGACCCAGAAGATATTTTTTCCTAATTTGCAAGCCTTGGGACTTGTTGACCTTCCCAAACTCAAAAGATTTTGTTCTGGAAATTACATTGCATTCCCCTGCCTAACAGGAATTAATGTAAATCAATGTCCTATGTTGAAGGCGTTCACCTCTAGCCCTGTTAATGGAGACATAGTAGTCAGTACGGTGAAATCTGAAAACACCTCCACACTATTACGGAAACACATCATGCTACACCATCAATCATGGCTCAATCACTTACACTGGATATCAAGTCCTAATTATTCTCACAATCAGTCTTTGCTACTCATATATTCTGCATTAATAAGGATTCATTATATTATGTATGTTTCTATTTTTACAAGTTCTTTCCATGTGTTGCTTAGGGCAACACCTCAATTTGTATATAAGTAAAATCTCACTGAATAAATCTGTATCTTTCATTCTCAATCTCCTCTTCATCTTATTAGTGGTATTAGAGCTTTCTCTCAAACGAGCACTACCAATGGCTAGTGAATCCACCACAACCATTACCTCTCCTATTTCCACTAATGCTACCATTCCTATTGGACAAAATACCATCATCACCTTCAGTGCTGTTGCTCATTTTCTTCTCAAACTTACTCCGAGCAACTATCCATCTTGGTGGGCACAATTCCTATCTATTCTTACCGTCTACAAATTAATTGGCTTTCTCAATGGATCCAAACCTTGCCCACCGCCATCAACTGGAGAGGTTCCTAACTCACCTTTTGAACTTTGGATTTGCCTAGATCAATCAATCCGGCATGCTATTCTGACATCGGTTTCAGAACCGATTGCTCCCTACATATCTACAGTGGAGACCTCACAACAAGCCTAGAAAATCTTGGCTAATCTCTATGCAAACCACTCAAGATCCAAAGTTTTTACACTCAAAGAGTGCCTCCAAAATACTCACCGTGAAGGTCGCACTGTCACTGAATTTCTTCATCAACTCTAGGTGCTTGCTGATGAACTTGCTACCATAGACAAACCCCTTACCAACGATGATTTGATGGTGTATGTCCTCAATGGGATAGGACCTAAATTTCATGAGATCTCTACTTCACTCCGCGCTCGAGACAAACCACTTTCTTTTGAAGAACTTCATGACAGATTAGTTGCACATGAAGAAAGCATGGACATGGAAGAAACTCGACTTGATAATACACCAGTGACTGCCTATTTTGCTACCATGCCCATCAGAAAGCTTGCTGGTAATATTTCTAATTTTTCAACAAATTCTGGTTTCTCAAATGCTTTTCTTCAGTCCAATGGTGCAGGAATTCTACCACTACCACAAAATATCCAACCATTTGCATCAAGCCAACAATTGGCAGGAGGAAGAGGAAATGGGCGTAATAGGCCAAATCAATTTTACAAAAGAAGAGGAGGCCCAAATCAACCCAACACCAGTAGATCCAATATCTCTTGTCAACTTTGCAACAATTTTGGGCATGTAGCTCGTACTTGTTATCTGTTTCGAAATCAAGGCCACGGACCCATAGCTCACTATGCAACATCTACCGGTCCAAGCACTAATGGGTGGTTGATTGATTCAGGTGCTAATAATCGTATCACCACTGATCTGTCCAACTTGACACTACACTCCAAATATAATGGCCTTGATGAACTACTAATTAAAGATGGATTAGGTTTGAAAATCACTCATGTTGGCCATACAACTCTCACAACACCCTCCTCAGCTATTCCTTTAAATAATGCTTTATGTGTACCTACCGCCTTTCACAATCTTATTTCTGTTTCTCAATTATGTAAAACTACAAATTCTATTATTGAATTTCATCCTAAGTTTTCTTGGTGAAGGATTGTAACACGGGGGCGATACTACTACGAGGGCCAAACCGGCATGGGTCCCACTAAACAAATACCAATGTCACATCTTGGGGAGAGGACATCGGCAATAAATTGGCATGCAAGGCTGGGACACCCATCTTCAAAAAAATTCTTAGTGTTATCAATCTGCCATTAATAAATAAATATGATGATTATTATTGTGATTCATGTTCTTGTTCTAAAAGCCACAAACTTCCATTCTCCAAATCCTCTATTACTAGCCATGCCCCTCTTGAATATATTTTTTCTGATGTTTGGGATCCTGCACCTACCATTTCTATTGATGGGTACAAGTACTTTATTGGCTTTGTGGATCTTTACAGTCGATATGTTTGGTTATATCTAATCCAAAACAAATCAGATGTCTCAATCATTTTCCCAAAATTCAAGTCATTAGTTGAAAATCAATTTGGGCGTAAAATAATTAATTTCTACTCTGATGGGGGTGGGGAATACGTTGCTCTTCGAAATTATTTTCAACAAAATGGTATTTCTCATTTTACCACTCCACCTTATACTCCAGAAATAAATGGCCTTTGTGAAAGACGAAACAAAATTCTTTGTTGAGACTGGTCTGGCTTTACTTCATTATGACTCTCTACCACCTCAATTTTGGTCTCATGCTTTTCAAATTGCAGTATACTTACTTAATCGCTTACCTATTCCTGTCTTGTCTTTCAAATCACCATCTCAAAAGCTTTTCTCTATTTCTCCAAATTATTTAAAACTCAAAACCTTTGGGTGTGCCTGCTATCCTTGGATGCGCCCATACACCCAAAATAAACTCCAAGCAAGATCCCTTCAATGTATTTTTGTTGGTTATTCTGTTGATCACCTAGGCTACAAGTGTTTTGATCCCCAATCTAATAAAATATTTATTTCAAGACATGTTATCTTCCATGAGGATCATTTTCTGTTTCGGGTCTCCAATGCAAACTCAACCCCTCCAAATCTATCTGATTCGGATCCTAGCCACACTCAAGTCTTGATTCTTTCCCCTTTAATTCATCCTCGGCCCTCCATCCCCCCAGCCTCCTCATCACTAGCACCAATTTTGGGTCTCTCCTCTGATCCTCGCCCAGCCTTGCTTGCCTCCTTGCCATTTGCTACTGCTGCCACCTCCCCTCTGCTAGACTCTGCCATCACACCTTTGCAGGGGTTCGCCCCCTTCTGCTTGCGGTACAGATTTGATTCGGTCTCTCTCATACTCAGGTAATTCTCCTTCTCTCCCTGTCATGGCACTGCCTCTCTCTTCCCTGTCCCTTGTCTCTTCCTTTTCATCACCGAGTCATGTCTCACCAATGACCGGCTCTTCTTCCCCTGGGTTAGCACCGTCCTCCCCTCTCCCACCACCGCCCATCACCCACCGCACTCACCCAATGATCACCTAGTCCTTAAATAACATCTTTAAATCCAAACAGATGCACCTTGCCACCAAACACCCTCTCCCAGCCACGGTTGAGCCCTCATGTGTGAGCCAAGCCTTGAGTCATCCCCACTGGCAAAGGGCTATGTCGGAGGAATTTGATGCTCTGGTTCGGCAAGGCACTTGGGATTTAGTTCCACCATCTCCAACTCAAAATGTTATTGGTTGTAAATGGGTATTCAGATTAAAGAGAGGAAAAAATGGTGAAATTGAGTGCTACAAGGCGCGGTTGGTGGCAAAAGGATTTCATCAACGTCCTGGTCATGATTAGTCTAATACTTTCAGTCCAGTCATCAAACCCACCACCATTTGCACTATGTTTACAATTGCTATGAGTCAAGCTTGGTCAATTCGGCCGCTTGATGTGAACAATGCCTTTCTCCATGGCAATGTTGAGGAGGACTTGTATATGACTCAATTGGCAGGTTTAATTGATCAAAATCTTCCTCATCATGTCTGTAAATTGAAGAAAGCAATCTATGGCCTTAAGCAGGCTCCACGAGCTTGGTACACTGAATTGAAACAATTCCTTCTTGGCTGTGGTTTGGTTAATTCTCATTCTGATTGCTCTTTATTCATCTATAATAATGTTGGAATTGTCATCTATGTGCTAGTCTATGTTGATGATATCTTGATTACTGGGAATAGTGCTACTTTTATCTCACACTTGATTCACAGGTTGGGGCAAAAATTTTCATGGAAGGACCTTGGTGACCTCAGTTTGTTCTTGGGCATAGAGGCAATTGAAACCTCTGCTAGTTTATTTCTTTCTCAACACATATATTAATGATCTCTTACAGAAGCATAAAATGGATGGTGCCAAACCGGTTGCAACACCTATGTCTTCTTTCGGGTTGTCTTCGCAAACTAGTTCTCCACCTCTCCTCGATGGCACAGCTTATCGGAAACTCGTTGGCTCCTTGCAGTACCTGTCCTTAACTCGTCTTGACATCTCTTTTGCTGTTAATAAATTATCTCAGTATATGCATTGTCCAACTGAGATGCACTGGCAGGTAGTCAAAAGTATCCTACGATATTTGAAGAATACTATGTTCCATGGGTTACTAATATGACCCACTTCTACTCTTGCTTTTCATGCTTTTAGTGATTCTGACTGGGCAGGTGATAAGGACACTCATGTCTCTATTACTGGCTATGTTGTCTTCCTTGGTGCTATTCCTATCTCTTGGAAGGCTAGCAAACAAAAAGCCATTGTCCGCAGTTCCACCGAGGCAGAGTATAGAGCTCTGGCAGCTGCTTCTTCTGAGTTAGTTTGGGTATTGCATTTGTTGACTGAGCTTGGGATTCGTGTTGATGCTCCACCAATGCTTTGTTGTGACAATGTTGGTGCCACATATCTCAGTAGTAATCCAGTCATGCACTCTCGTATGAAGCACATAGCAATTGATCTTCATTTCATTCGTGACCTCGTTGATAAGAAAATTCTTCATGTCTCTCACATTGCCTCTGTCGATCAACTTGCTGATGGGTTGACCAAACCACTGTCTTCATCAAGATTTGCCTTGTTGCGTTCCAAGATTGGTATCGCTGATGGCTTTACCATCTTGCGGGGGCATATTACGGAAACACATCATGCTACACCATCAATCATGGCTCAATCACTTACACGGGATATCAAGTCCTAATTATTCTCACAATCAATCTTTGCTAATCATATATTCTGCATTAATAAGGATTCATTGTATTATGTATGTTTCTATTTTTACAAGTTCTTTCCATATGTGTTGCTTAGGGCAACACCTCAATTTGTATATATGTGTAATCTCAGTGAATAAATATGTATCTTTCATTCTCAATCTCCTCTTCACCTTATTACACACCACCTTTATTTGATGCAAAGGTGATTTCTTCATATTGTTCTTCCCTGTCTTACATTAATAATATTATAGTTTCACCTCTTAAAGCCTTTCCTTTTTTAATTGGATTCTAAAGTTGAGTTTGTCTTTCTTATACTGATAATTTATTACTACTATCAATAAATTCTTTAGGTGGCAGTCCCCGTGCTAGAGAAGTTAAAAATCAGTAATATGGAGGGCTTGCACAAGATATGGCACCACCAACTTGATGCAGACTCATTTTGCAAACTAAAAGACCTTACTGTAACCGACTGTCAAACGCTAGAGAGCATTTTCCCATTTAGCATGCTGGAAAGACTTCAGAGACTAGAACAACTGTTGATTAGGAGATGTGATTCGCTAGAAGTGATAGTTGAACCTCAAGGACATATTGCTAGCTATTCACAAGCTCTGGTAGCCAGTGAGCCAACTTTGGTAGCAACTGAAACCAAGTTGGTACTTCCAAAATTGACAGAACTGGGGCTTGAAAGCCTACCCAAGCTCAAGGGTTTCTGCCATCCAATATACTTTAAATGCCCATCTCTGAAGAAATTGGAGGTGGTTGAATTCCAGCAGCTAGAGGTATTTGCTTTAGAATTTCCTAGCTTCCAAAGTAGAACTAGTAGTAATGACCAATTGGAGACTCGAGTAACTTCCTCTCTTCTGGATCAACAAGCTACGCAATCTAAATAGTTTATGATAGTAAGGCAGACAACCATTGTGCGTGTGTGAGATACGCTATATTTCTTGTAAGCTTTTTGGCCTGAACATATTCAAATCAAGCAAAACGTATAAGCCACATGGTAATACTTATTTTTTCCAACATATTAATTCCATTTGATTGAATGATTAAGAAAATCAAATGACCCAATTTATATATGGAAGTTTATATAAAAAGAATTATTAATTAAAATTATTTGCTAACCTTCATTATAATATTTATTCAAATATTCAAATAAATAAGAATGGGTACTGCTGTATAAGCTGCCACTGAAATTTACTCTAAGGTGATATATCCCTATCTCTATTAGCCATATGAATCTCTTATTTTAGTGAAGTCCTGGGTATGCTTGGGTTGTAATTTGTCCATGATACACTTTATTTGTTAAGGAAAAGTTTTCCTTTTTCATAAAGAAAAATAAAACTTAAACTTTTCATTTCATTAAGTTGTTTTTGGTTTTATTTATTTATTATTTATTTTTTTTTGGGCTTTAAAGGAATTTTTGGTTTTTGGTGTTGAAAATTTCAGTCTATTTACGATGGAAAAGCTTTCCTTTTTGTTTTTGGGTCTTTAAAGGAGTTTTTGTTAGCAACTTGCTTTCTTTCTGGTTGATTTAGTCTATTTGTGTCATTAAGTTTGTGCTTTATAATATAAGGGATTTTATTGTCGTTAAAAAAAAATTTTTTTTTTTAAATTCATAAATTAATAATATAATTGCATATTATTCTAATTATCTACACATGTTCGTTTCTCTACTTTTTAAAAGTAAAAACTATGCAACTTTTCAACTTATATGGCTTATTATTCTCCTTTTTATGTTGTACTTACAACTTGTCCAGTAGAATATGTTTTACTAAAGTGCTAGTGACAAAAATAAAAATTTGCATCACTATTTTGCATAAAATAATGAACAGAGGATTTGCATCCATTACCATTTTGAATCCCACCTCTTGTTTTTCATGCCAAGAAAAAACATTATATCTCAAATTTTCAGGCTACATTCTCCAATCTACAAGAATGGAAACTCGAAAAGATTGGCCGTCTGAAGGAGATATGGCGTGGGCAATATGCAGGGGACTATTTTCCCAAACTAAAAAAATTGGAACTTATCCACTTTTCTGAGCAATCAGTTGTTCCTCCTTTCTTCTTCCAGTCACTTCCTTGCAGTCTTGAGAAACTTGTTGTGAGCTATGCTTCCTTTCATGAAACATTTCAATGTGAAGGATCTGGTGGTGAGGGAAGATCTGCAGGTGCACTCACTTGGTTAAGGGAATTAAGGTTATCTAATCTTAATGAGCTAATGCATCTCTGGAAGGTTAAACCTGATTTTGAAACCATTGTCTACAACTTGAGAGCTCTGGAAGTGCTTGAATGTAGCAAATTAATGAATTTAGTGCCATCCATTATATCTTTGAGGAATCTGCAGGATCTAGAAGTATCAAGATGTCATGGACTCGTAAGTTTAATGAGGTATGCAACAGCTAAAAGCTTGGTGCAGCTCACAAGAATGAGTATAAGTGATTGCGATATGGTAGGAGAAATTGTGGCATGCATTGATGATGAGGTGAAGGATGGCATTGTCTTAAGCAAACTCAAGTATTTGCGACTCAAGGGTCTGCCAAAACTAGCGAACTTTTGTTCAGTGGGATGCAACTTTGAGTTTCCGTTTTTGAAAGACTTAATTGTGATGGGATGTCCAAATATGCAGCTTTTCTCCAAGGGAGAATTAAGCACCCCAAAACTGCTGAAAGTAAAATTTATAGAAGAAAATAATGAAGGGCGCTGGGAAGGTAACCTTAACACCACTCTACAACAGATGTTTATGGAAAAGGTATGTATTGATTCAAAAGACTTCCTTTAGTTTTTTTTCTTATTTTTTACGTTTTCTTTACTTCACCTTGATTATCCTGTTAAAGTAAATAAAAATTGATGGAAACTTATGGCAACTTCATTATATTATTTTTAGTCATAAACATTTATCCTGCCTACGGTTCTTGCTTTCACCTTCAGTTTGTTATTCCTTATGATTACAGGGTATTGATGGTTCTAAGGAAGACTGAACCTATGCAAACTGAATTACATCTATGTCTCTAAAGATGTACATCCAAGAGATCTCTCATGTCCTAAACTAAAGTCAAATGGTGAGTGGGTCTTGTGCTTCTATCTTTTCTCCCTTTTTGCCATCCTTCAAGAAGAAATATCTTCTTATATGAAAATATGTTATGATGCCTTGCAGGTTGAATGGTGCATTCACAAGCTGGATTTTAATACTGTCAAGTTGTCACATTGTCCTGCTCAAATAATCACTTCCATTCCTAAAACTGATCCCTTTTTTCCCCTAAAATCCACGTTTGAACTTGTACTATCTCTACTTAATTTCTGTGAGGCTTGCTGGTGTGTGTTTTATGGTGTGAAATGAAAAAGATGAACTTCATTTTTTTCTGCTTTCATAAGACAGATTGTCGTTTGCTTATGGATTATCAACTGAGTTATGCATTAGTTTGTGTTAATAATTTTAAATGTATCTATCAAATGAATGAGCTTTATAGCTGGTAATCGTTTGTTGAGTGTTACAAATTTGCAGATGATGCTTCATACTTGGACCTTTATATAAGCAGACCTTAAGAAGCTGGTTATTCTCATTTCATTCATTGTACAATTTTGTGATGATTTTGTTAGTTACAGCAGCTTGTAATTGCAGCTTTTCAGTCTCTACTCGCTAAAAAAAATGCAGCCTAGGCTGAAAATAAACCTACGGACATTTTTCCATATTCGGATGGTTCTGCTTGCTAACTGCCTCCTCTGTGCCCGTCAACTGTTTGTTAAAATGCCAGACAGACCCTCTGAGACCACATGATTGCAGGTTAGCTTTTCTTAATCCTTCTTTAATCATTATGTATCTGTTATGCTTTATTTTCGTTTGTTGATTGAATAACAAAATTGAATTATTTGATGGAATTTGGTGGATTACCAGCATCATAGGAAAGATAGGGTTGACAAGAGAGAGAATAAGCTTGTTGGGTTTTCTTCAATTGGGCTAGGCCTTATTAGCACTTGTCTTCATATCATATACTCTTTTTTGTTCAAATATAATAATTTTAATGTAACTTTTTCACTTTTAAAATAAAAATTTTAAGTGAAAATTTAACATAAAAATTGAATACCAATTGATATATATATATATATATATATTTGTTATTCATAGTTCTTGTTTAGTTATTTTACTTAATTGAAAAAAAAAATTGTTATTTATATGCTATGTTAAATTTTTACAAACTTTTTTTGTCTTAAAAAAAAAAAAAAAAGATCAAGATAGGACTATTATTATTATTAAACATCGAGAGTAACACACTAGAGGTCACGCCACACAATATTTAGTAGTCACAAAAATACTCCCTCATTCAAGTGGT